ATCGTAGACGTAAAAGTTGTAAAAATTGTTAAAATTGGTTTCCACCCCATTCCAAATATTTTTTCACCTTCGTACGATGGTATGTGTACGGGATCTAGTGGTTGATTGGGGCGGTATCGAATGGGGTGCTGGGCGTACTATTTCTTAGCAATCTTCTTTACTAATTAAAGGATGTTTCGGAATGTAATTACATATGAGAATAATTAATTGTTCTTTAATGAGTAATCTAAGTACCTACCTCTCCGATACTAAATACTATATGGATTATAGTACATACCTATTAGAATTGTTTTTTTATACTTAACGTCTACACTTCTCGAGGCAGACCATCTAACTGATACTGAGGATCTTCTTGCAGTTCATACCACCGCTACATTAAATAAATTTGAGCATAATGTAATAAGCAGGGAAACCTTAGAAGAAGTGGGGATTTTTGAGGATTTTTGTAACGCACATGTTTTCAAGCAAAGTCAGTTTTTTTTTTTAGATAGCGGTAGCACACCCAGCATGACTTTTCTGTCCAAAAGTTTTGATGTACGAGGCGGCCTTTGCGCTATTTTCGCAAAGGCCGTGTCGCGTCTTTTATTTTTGTATGACAGACACATTTCTAATCACAGCAACGCCATTCAAATAACGATGACGCTACATTGTATGTATTTTAAATGGGGAATCTCAACTGTGACCTCCGCCAAAAATACTACAAATATCGGTTCAAGAAAAAATGGGAACATAAAAATTTGTCGGCGGAAGGTACACAAACTATGCGTTTTCATTAATAACATATTTATTTCTTAATTAATATGAGCATATAATACATAAAAAATAAGAAAAAAGTGTGATCCTCATTGAAACATAGATAAAAAATGCAATATTTTTGACGTAGGAAAAAGCCATTCATATATAGTTAAAATACTCGACTACAACTAGACAGAATTTGTGCCCGAGTGATCACAGGCATCCTGATTGGTCATTGACAAGTACAAAAACATCTCCATATCATGGAGTTGTCAGGATCCGCATTCTGCAGGGGGTGCGAACAAGAAGATGAGACCATCTTACGTATCCTCTACTATTGCCCAACACTCTCATTTATTAGAATATTTGAGTTCAGCGAGTATCGGCTAACACCGATCGATATAGGAGAAGCACTTCTTGGCTACGTTGTCAAATACATTAATTCATTTTGTATGACGAGAACGTTTCTATTCACGGTAATGCCATTCAAATAATATTGACGTCACAGCATATTTTAAATAGGGAATCTCAACTGCGGCCATTGCCAAACAAACATACTACAAATTTTGGTTAAAAAAATGAAAATATAAATATTTGCTTGTGGAAGGTACACAAACTATGTGTTTTCGTTAATATTTATTTCTTACTTAATATGAGCATACAATACTATGGCTACACAGAAAGATAGGAAAAAAGGTTGTTTTCTTATTGAAACATACAGAAAAAATGCAATATCTTTGACGCAGCAATAATCCTTTCATGCATAATCAAATACTTGACTACGAATGGGCCATTGCCAAGTATGAAAGCATCTTCATGTAATGGGACTATCAGAATACGCACTCTGCAAGAAATGAGAACAAGAAGATGAGACCATCGAGCATGTCACCCTACGATTTATTAAAAGATTTGCATTCAGCGAATATCGGCTAACACCGACCGATATAAAAGAAGCACCTCTTGGCGGCGTTGTCACTTACATTAAATCTGTAGGCTGGCTCAAGAGCTTGATGCATATCATCTTAGAAGGAAGTACAATGGGCCCTGGTTGAGGCTTAAGTGTCTTGAGGTAACCCACCTTCCATACGTTACAGGTGCCTTCCATGTATAAAAGACACCAAAAAATTCAAATAACTGGCATAAAATGAGCACAGCTCAAAAAACGGCTAAAAATAATTCATTTCAATACAAAATACATACAAAAATGGAAAATAACATCAGAATAATTACAATATCTTTCTTATGTGAAAGACACCAAAAATATAAATTTAAATTTAAAACAAAAAAATAAGTAAAACGGGGATACATTGGCACACAATGTGTTGAACTAAACTACCTATTGTGTTTGTCTTTAGTAGAGATCTACGTATAATACGCAAACTTTGAAGTCAGGTAAACAAAGGGCAGAGTCGTCTAGGTATCTAGTTGGGCTATGATTAGTAGAAATATATGTTTTTTATGGACACCACCTAAAACTAACTTCAGTGACTCGATAGAACATCGCTTTTAGGATGGTAGGATGGTAAGATTTGGTAGAATCCTGCTTTTTAATGGGATTTGTGCATAGAAACCTGTAATAAATTACCTATTTATAGAATCAAGCTAAGAATTCAGAATAGGTACTATCTATAAAAGTTTATAGAGGTACACATACTTTAAGAAAAATCAATAACTGTATGGCGCCAAGAGATTGACACGATACACTATTATCTCGTGATTCGCTTTACCAAAAATCGGAACCGTTATTTTGATATGTACCCTAACATTGAAATTATATTTCTGGCGTAGAGTTTTTTTATATTTTGATAAAAATAGTATTAAGTCCAAAAAATTTACTATTGTACATAATATATAGATACGATTCCATACCACAGGTTATGCGCGAACTCGACGAGAGTTCATCGGTTAAGTGTCATATCCCTGTATTTTTTTGTATCGTGGTATTTAGATACACATTATATGAGGAATATTATTTGATGTTGAATGTAACAAGTCAATTAGTCAGTAGTCTTCAGCAGTTAGATGTTTAGAGGTGCTACCATATAAATACAAAAAGCTATGTGTTGTCTGCCGAACTATAAGTATGTATCTATTTAACGCCGCCACCACCTAGTAAACGTTCTTAACTGATTAACAGAGTACTCATATTTAGATAAAAGATGACTGTTTTGATTTACCTAATAACATTTATCCGCAATTTGATACATATTGTTGGTAGGTGTATGCAATGCTTTTACCTGCTGTTTGTAGCTGGTAACAGAGGGTGGGAGGGGCAAGTTGTACTATGTCCTGGCGTTGGGAGCGGACATGTGATCTCTGTTAATTTCGAAGTAAATTTGCATATCGATGGATTTTGCTTTTTATTGATCTCGACGTCTGGAAGCATAGATTAGGCTTCCATAGATTCTGCTGGATTGTCTCTGCTCTATGGTCTAGCAGATAGCGACGATGTATTGTATGCATGAGGTCCCCGGTTCGATCCCCGGCCATTTCAAACTTTTTTTTTCAGTAGAAAATATATATCAGTATGGGTGTATGTTGGGTTGACTAAGTAGAAGTGATAGAAACGATAATTAAAAGTATCTATGTGTAACAAGTTAGGTGTATGGTGGGTTGCCTAGGTTGTATGGCGGCATGTAGCTCCGTGAGGTTGGGCTATGCAGATGGTATGTAGTTAGTAATTCTTGCACCATCTACTGTCCAGTAAGTTTGACAGATGTTGGCAACACTGGATTGACTGATAACGGATGTTAGGCTAGGTTGGCAACACTGTTAATAGATGACATGATTGTTGATTGCTGACGAGCGAGAACTGGCGTGTGACCTTGAAATAGACAAAAAGTGGCAGAATGGACCTTAGCGATTTCCCATGTTAATTCACATAAGAGCTGCGCTTGAACTGTTGCTGCTCCTTTACTAACGATACTAATATTGCAGATGATCACGGATCCAAGCGTGCTTGTAGATTAGATTGGGAGTTGGACGTTAATTGTCCTTGTCCACCGCGACCTTTTCAGATCTATTGTGGGACTCCGTTTGTTTTAGAGTATGTCGACTAGCTTGGTCTTTTTTATTAGACTTAGTTGCTTTGACAGTGGCTTTCGCATGTAGTTGCATGAATTTGTCTTTTCTTCGCCGCACAGGACGTGGAATGATGCTTCCTCTTCTTCTTCTTCTTCACAGAACCTGCACAAAGTTGCTTCTTCTGCTGGATTGATGACACTCATGTGCCTTTTAAGGCGACAGTGTCGGATAAGAAGACCTACTGTTATTCTAACGATTTAACGCTTTTGATCCAGTAAGTATTTCGTGAACTTGGCCGATGGTTCCTTGAAGAAGTGTTTGACCTGTCTTAGTCTTGGTCTTGCTCCACCATTCCTGAGACGATACTAATATTGCAGATGATCACAGATCCAAGCATTCGCGCCACATTCGTGTGTTTACTATGTTACACGAGCCACAATATTTTTGGATAATGACCCTTTTTCAGGCCATCTATTTAAAATTATTTAGTGGGGATCACTAATAAATAAAATACAGAACATATAAATATATTGAGAGCTTTTGGCCTTTTCGAGTTAACTACACTTTCGTCTACAAAATAGTTCAAATTGTATACAGTATAAACAAGGCAAGTGGAACAAAGTCTATATCAATAAAATCTAACTCCATATTAATACATTCAAAATATGCACAAACAAGATGAGTGACATTTATACCAAAACATGATCATAACATTGTGTTCAATTGCTAATAGTGTGTCCAGATAAGAGACAAATAACTTATTTTGTTAAATATATTTGGTGTGATTCCTAATAGTATATATTTTTGTCTAAACAAGATTAAGTCCAGAACACTTATTTTTGTTGAATGTATTTGTTGAAATACTTCAATATTTTGCCCAAGCCATTTAGTTTGTTTTGCCTAGAGTCGTCTCTGGCCTTTCTTGATTGTTCCGAAAACGACAAGGTGATTACTTCACCCTTTCTTTCCGCGATGCAGCTAATCTTTCAAAACCAGTAGAGGGGTGCCTGAAAGGGCGAAAACAATAGCTATAGCTGAAAATAGCTTGAAAATACTTACAAAACGTGCAAACAGAAAGATTTATTAAAACTATGTTAATCAAGTGCTACACGTGATGAATTTCACCGTTATTATCACAATCTACCTGTATCCAATAAAGTTAAAGACACGGTTGTATCCAACAAACTGGATTATTAATTTTAATTGGTCAGTATTTCGACACTTTATTCTGTAATACTTACGTATCATAAACAAAACTGGAACAATTTTCCGAACACTTCTCTGTAGAATTATTAATACACCAATGATTGACTGGTGGAGCCAAAAACACTATACTTAGTTGATGCCAGGAGACGCCAAATTTGACTAGAAAAATTATAAAGCACAACCATAACTGCCACCTTCCCAAAACACCTGTACATTTTTGTATAATATCTATTTGATCTTCTTCATCTTTTGATGGTCCGTTCGTGCTTTCTGTTTTACCATTTTGCACTGAAAAAAAAAAAACAGATTTGTGTCATTGAGAACAAAAAATTAATAAAAATGTTTGCCTAATTCATACAAGGGACAATAAGAAATTAGGGAGGCGTAGAAGAGCCACAGGGTAGATATGTATCCTTCGAAAATCCTAATATTTTGGTCCCAAATACCCTGGGACGTTTCAACAAAGGGTGCGGCAAGTCAAGGGGGCGGTGAGCGACGATAAAAAAATACTAATTTAATTATTTATTAGTACTAACTTATTGGTAAATATATTATCATTATATTACTTGGATTTAAAAATGCATTTAACAAGTGTAACTGGAAATAAACAAAACAACATTGACTTTAAAAACGCATATCACTTCGCAATCAGTCAAGAAATAATTTTTTTAACAAATTTTAACTCATCATTAAAAACCTAGATCACAAGCGTGTATCGCGACAATGCCCCGACTTGTAAATCGTCGATTGACCGGTTGTGTCTGCGATCTTCTGGCAATTAGACGGACAGGAGGGGTATAGCGTCGGTGCGACCGGTTTTTGTCAGGTTGCAGGAAAATAATCGTGTATTCCCCTTGCTAGGGATGCGCTCATAGGAAGCGTTCATTGAAAAGCAAAAAAAAAAGGAAAAAAGGAAATCAAACCATCAAATGAAACGTGACGCTTAACAAAAAGCCAAAAAACATTGAAAAGAAAATCATTGATGTTAATTGAAACATCGATATTAACAAATAACATCGGATAAACAAAAATCGATGTTAACTAATAACATCGGATTAAAAAACATCGATGTTGAACATCGATAATCGAAACCTAAAAATCGATGTGTTTTAAACATCGATACATCGTGCGCATCCCTACCCTGAGCCTATAAATCCCCGATAATTTGTACTATAATATTATCTTTAAACGTCTCAATCTAAATAACTGAAAATAAAGTTTTTGGTCCCTAATTTGTGATCGATTCTGTGATGGCTAGCCAATAAAAATATTTCAAAAGTAAATAAACTTAATATTTTCATTAGCACGGTTAAAAATTAAAATAGTACATTTATGTTGTTTTAATATTTGTTTTGCAAAAAACGATTTATTGCTTAATTCTATTTTATTTAAAGTGTTTTTATTTTGCAAATGTAAAGCATTTACTACATGCTACATGCGAACAAGTGCAAACTTGTATTTTTGAATTGCATCACCTTATTTGTTTAACAGATGTGTGAAATATAACAATTTTTTTTTGCAGAAAAAACAGTCGATCTGTTAGATTCCTCGATAACGTTTTACTAAGTTTGGTATACAGGTGGGTATTTATAAGAGAACGGTTCAATTTTTTTTAGTTAAACCGGTTCAGAGGAAGGGGGTGAAAAGGGGGTTATTTAGCAAAAATTTTTCTTAAATAATCGAGAAATATATCGTATTCTGGGTTTTTTGTTATACAGGTTTTACAGCCTATATGAGATTTAAACAAAAAATTCGATTTAGGGTAAAAAAGAATGGGGGTACAAATTAAAATCGAGTGATAGGTGTTTTTAGGGGTTTTCAGGTATACAGATTCTGATTTTATAATATTTAGAAACTTAAAAAAAATGAAAGGAGGTATTGCTAACATAAGTTTTTGCTTTTTAAATTCTTTTAAAAATGTTACCCCCAATTTTTTAAAGGGTTTGGGGGAGGGTAACGTTTAAAATCTGATGTTATTGTATGTTTCTTATATTTTTGGGGTCATAGAATCCATTTTTTCAAATTGAGGATGAGAATACAGATGATCCACGTAGAGTAAGTGAGCCCGAAGAACGTAGGTACTCTCGAGGGTAAGCCGGGGCAGAAGTTGGAAAGGCTTCTGGTAGGAAGAGAATGGGTAAACGTCAAACCACGTCTGACGACTTCTTCATGTTGTTCATTTGTACAGTAGTCAAGTCGACCTCTAAGTAACTTTCCTTTCTTTTTTATATATATTTTTTTATTTTTAACATTTGATAAGGTATCATCAGAATTGCGTAGCACCACTTTTAATGGTCGATTTCCGTTCTTGTTTTAACTATAGACAGATCTTTTTGACAAATCTCATTAACAATTTCTTTAACAGTATCCAAATCAGTTTTTTGCCGAGAAGCTTCAGGAATATTGAACACTATGACATTGTTAGCTTGGCTTTGCCTCTCGTTGAATATGTTTTCTTTAGTTATTACAGAAGGGCGATTTTTTAGATTGGTAATATCTTTCTGGAAGATCATTAATTTTAGCATTCAATTCAGGAATTTTATAAAGTAATTTAGAGCCTTCTTGACAATGCTTGTAAAATAATTTTAGCAGTATTTTGCCCCTCAATTCCATAACTCTTATCTCTGATGCATTAGGTCAGTGCACTCTTTATGCAGTTTCCTTTGACAACTATCACATGCGAGTCTCATGTCATCTTTAAACGAAGTATTACATTTAATCACATACTTTGATTTTCTGTATGTGCATTTAATACAAACCATTCTAGATAAAATATAAATTAGCACGCTACTGGTATACAGACAGAGGAAAGTATATCAGACATATAAAACTGGAAGAACAAAGCAGATCAACAAAATTAAGCCGCATAGCGAGGTGATATTTGACACTGTGGCGCCCACACGTGCATATCGAAATGCGCTAAAAAGGAACATCAAAATTAAATTTAACACTTATTACATTCAACTACGACACCTTTTAATTTAAGAAAATCACTTAAAAATTATTTTTGATAAATATGCAGCTGAAACAAATGTTCCAATAATAATAATACTTATTAAAATAGCGCGTTATTAATAAAAAATAATGTGACTTATCGTAGTACGCCCGTGGGTAACCCAATGAACTGGAGGGGGGTAGAATGCCAATGTACATGTTGTACTATTAGAACAAGGTGCGACTCGATGGGCGCAGCCATTTTTATTGTGTATCTCACTCGGGACTATTTATAATAACCATTTTCTGTTTCACATTGTTATTGTTCAATCCACAAGCTGGTGGATCAGACAATAACAATGTGAAATAGAAAATGGTTATTTTAAATACTCCCGAGTGAGATGAAAAATAAACTATCTTCGCCCATAGAGTCGCACATCAAGTTTATTGACAAGCATTCTACCCCACTCCAGTTCATTGGGGTAACCTGACGTAGAATGCTCGAAATTGACAGTCTGGCGTCCAAATTGTCATGCGCACCGACCATTTTTTTCACCCAGAAATTAGGAGTAGGGTTCATTAGGTTCTTTCGTTCGTCCCATTGGTGTAGGAATGAACTACACCAACGTATACTAAACCTTTCGTTTGGCCCGGTGTAAAACCCACTATACCTTCCTGTCGGCAATGTGGTGTCCACTGGTGGATATTTTCTCCACCAGCTATTTAACAGGAGTAAATTACACTCGACGATGTGTATAAGGAATAAGAAGGATGTAAATTAGGGTAAATAAGGTGGTGTAACTGGTGTAATTTACACTGGTGTACACTTCACCAATAGCGAACGAAAGAACCTAATAATATCAAGGTCGGTGATATCAGACACCACTTTTTGTGAAATTTTCTCCTATTATTAGGTTCTTTCGTTCGTCTCACTGGTGTAGGAATGAACTACACCAACGCACACCATACCTTTCGTTTAGCTCGGTGTAAAATCCACTACACCTTCCTGTCGGTGATTTGGTGTCCACTGGTGGATATTTTTTCCACCAGCTTTTTAGCAGGAGTGAATTAAACTCAACATGAGTATCAGAAATAAGGAGGAAGTAAACTAGGTAAATAAAGGTGGTGTAACTGGTGTAATTTACACTAGTGAACACTGCACCAACAGCGAACGAAAGAACCAATTGTATAGTAGAGGCAGAAGTTGGAAAGGCTTTTGGTAGTAAGAGGGGGAGTAAACGTCAAACCACATCGGACGACTTCGAGAATTTTGCGCTAATGTTTATCTGCCAGTGCCGTTTCATAGAATAAGTAATTTTAAATTGTTACCGGCAGAACCAGACAAACGCATGTATTTATGGACTAGAAATAATTATTAAACAAGTATTATAATATCCCATATCTACAAAATTTTAACAGCCATTCACAATTTATTAAACTATTTACCCGAAATTGTTATTAACATCTATAAAATCCTTTTCTACGCCAATGTATCGCGTCTACTTCGGTTAGCTCAGCCGCAAAACTGTAAATTTCTGTGTATGAAGTGGGGAACTGCGAAAAGCCTTTCCAACTTCTGTCCCTGCTATATTCCGATACAGAACTACAGAACTAGATGGACCTTGCTTGGTAAGCAGAACAAGAACCGCTGCAAGGCGACAGGAGCTAACACTGCTGTGTTAAAAGTGCTGTTGCGTCTCTTTCATCGGAGGCGCTGGTAAATGTGCTTCACTAAATTACATGTGATTCAGACGTACAGATACTGTTCTGTGACAGATACATTATACATTTTAATCGCCTTACGCGGTCGCTTGGTTCTTGTCTCTTATCTCGGTCTCGCCTTCCCAAATGGTACCTTAAATAAAACCACAAAGGATACTGTCCCAGAGCCTCAATATGATTGTTTTGATATTATCGACCCGTTAACCTGGTCTGGCAATCTGGCATATTACAGAATCAAATCATCGAACTGTTAGTTCAAAATGATTGTTTACATGGACGCTGCCACACGCCCCTAAGAAATTATTTTAACGGCGCCCATGACCGTATTGTACAAATGAAAATAAGTATTAAGTTTCAATTGTGCATTTAGATAGTGGCAGTAGTTTTTATAATTTTTTTTTAAATTTTTTTTATTATTATTGCCCATTTTATGTAATTTTTATAATTTATACATTTATATTATAGAATAGCTGAAAGTTTCTTGGGCGAAAATATGAAGATTTAACGTAAAACGCTTGCATAAAATATGCAAATTTATAGAGATATAATAAAGGTGTTTTACCTATTACAAAATTCGATAATTTCAAATTCTAATATTTTTGTTTGTCAAGTATAATTGTAGTAAGAAAAAT